TAAACTCTTTCCTAAAATACCGTTGCGAGTGCTGTGTGTTGACAAAATATTTTCTTTTTTCATACTATCAATCTAATTCCAAAAATCTAACCTATCAGTACCTATCGGTAAACCAAGGCGATCAATCCTTATAATTTTCAAACAATTTTTTTCAAATTTAAAAGAGATTGACCAATTCTACCAATTTGGTAAGGTTTCAACAGGTACTGAGCTGATGGATGACAATATTTTACACCACTTCAACCTAATAACCTAATTTCAACCCTAAAAATAGCCATTTCACAAATTTCAACTAACTGCTACATCAAAATATTTTCAGATCTGATGTCCATTAAATTCCCCTTGCATTTTACGTTTTTAAAGTTGCTGTTGTGAAAATGACATTTATGCACGGAAAATTTCCATATTTCGATCAAGCAATCACATCAACCAGGACAAAAATTCAAAATCACAATCCAAGTACTCAATTTCAATATTCCAACAATAACTGAGATAACGATAATGACACTTCCCACTCTAATTCCAACAAAAAAAAAACCTAAATTATCAAAATTCCAGCAGAACACTTCAGGGTCCCTCCGAATCTAAACATAAAGCAACAATATCAAACAAATTATCGCCAAAATTGGAAAAATAACCGCGTCATGTGCCGACTACTAGCCGACACGAGCTCGACGACTCGTCCTCCGACGGCGGGCGCCGAGCCTCTCGGCCTCCGACGACCGCGGGCCTCCGCTTTGATCGGTGACCGTCGATTCGGCGACGGAGAGTCTCGGCCGTTGATCTAGGGCCAGGGGGGACGCCGACCAAGGGAACTCCCAGATCTCAGGGATCGGAGTTCGGGAGGATGAGAAGAAGTTGGATCCATTAGGGTTTTGGAGTCCAATTACGCTCACACAATGTTTTTCTTTTTTTTCTTCACCCCCCCCACCCCCCCCCCCCCCCCCCTCCCCCCCCCCCCCCCCCCCGCCCCCCCCCCCCCCCCCCCCCCCCTTTATTTATTTCACTTATTGATGAGTGTAGATCTTCAACGAGATGAACAGCTGTAAGTGAGGAGGCTGACAGAGTTATTCTCGTCATTATTATTAGAATATTTTCAGATTGGTCCCTGTGAATTATAAAAAGCTTTGGATCTGAAGTAGAAGGGTTTTTTCGCGTAGAGATTTAACTATCCTAATTTGCAGATAAAATTAATGTCTTAATGAGAGCTTGTTTATATGTTGAAAGGCTTTGATTAAAAGAACTCTTGGTTTCCAGTTTTAAATATAAAGAAAATAAATTTCTTGAACTTGGTAATTTAGAATGTGGGGATTGACCATGAGAAATTGGCACAAAAAATAAGCAATATAATTTGACTTATATGATTCCGATCCGTATAAAGTAACAATTGAGATATCCATACTATCTTCGATATTGTTATGTATAGCTTCCAAATTTTCCATGTACAATGTTTTGATTTCAGATCCTCTCCACTAAAAAAAATAGTGGAGGGAGAACTACATAATCACAACCATTGATTATCTAGTTGATGATTATGATTTTTTTTTGCAAATTAAGAATGAGTGTCATACACGGGGGGTATGGTAAGTGTTAGATTTAGATTGTATCATAACCGTCTACTAAATAATCAACGCTTGAGATTAAAAGTAGTGGTCTCTCCACTACTTTTTTATAGTGGAGAGGATCCAAATCCTTTGATAAATTTTGTAGTTGAAGCCATGCACGTCATCGGGAAAACTCAATCTTCTAATGAATTTAGAAAAACAACTAAACCCAAGAAGGTTTAATCCAATTTTATTTAACGAATGAAAATCCACCAAATTCGTATATCTTCTTTCTGAAGTGGCGCTTACAACTAGCTGGATAGATTTACATCTTAGGTGCATGTTAACGTTGCCTTGGAAGATTAAGGACCAGCCTATCGCAGATGATCCTCTCTCTCTTAGCGGTAAAACCTCTCGAATCGGCCGACCTCTGTACTCGGGCGAGAGTTCAGAGCTTTTGCTCAGATGAAGAAGGTTGCTCAAAAATAACACCAAAAATATGGACGAAAAATCACTTTTGAAAGCAGAGGATAGAAGAGAGACTTGCAGCGTGCTTTCGAATTCACATTAGGGGTGTATATATAGGGTTGTGCTGGATCCAAGCGCACATTTCCAAATCCGTTACGCACACAAAAAACGTGTAAGCAAGGCGTGCACGCGCATGTGTATTATGCTAAGCTCAAACAATACAAAGCCCAAAATACTATTCAAAGCTCAATAAGAGGTGAAGCAATTTAAACCTCTTACTATTCATGAAACTAGTCCATATAGAACTATTCATGAAGTTAAAATTGCCTTTTCTCCGTGAAGACAAAATTACTTTTTCTCCAACAACATAGCCACCCGGCCCACCCGGCCCCTCCCTAAAATTTGAAATAGACCCCCGGTATTTAGAAACAAAGAAGGCAGACCACAGCCCACTAACTTTCACGGCCTAGCCAAAAGCCCATGGACGCAGATACTATAATCCGTTAGTTCGTCTTGTAATAACAACGACGCATATATATACATACGGTTAAGAAAGAAATTTATTTATTAATCACAATCGTGTGTGTTGCATGCCTTGTAATAATAACCATGCGTATGTATACATATATATGTTGAAAATTGGGGTGTAGCCCATACCTGTCAGCGACGACGAGCTCCTCCGGCGATCTCAGACGAGCTCGAGATCAAGGTTGGACTCGGTCGAAGGCGAAGGCAGGCGAGTTTTTCGAGCGGTCCTCCTGCAGGCGGATTTCGACGGGCTGACGGCGAGCTCGAGCGACTGCTAAAGGCGGATTCGAGACCCCCTCCCCTTTTGCAGGCGAGATGGTTGTAGGCGGTTTTGAGCTCGAACAGGTGTGGAGATCGCCTGTGTGTGGAGAGAGGGACTCTCGCCTGCTGCGGACGTGGAGGCGAAGGCGAAATTTCCCCTGCAAGCTGTGTTGGATCCAGCTGGATCCCATTCCCTCTCAGCCCTAGGGTTTCCCTATTTAAGGGAACCTGAGCACGAGAAGTAGTTGCCTCGTTTTTTTTCTTCTTCTCGTCTCATTTATTCGGGCGGCGGCCATTAAAAGCAGAGCTTCAACGGAGAGATTTTCAGAGGAAAATCTCATGTTTCCTGTAGCGATTAATTTATTGAGGAGAAAAAGAGGAGATTTTACTGTTGTAAAATCTCGCGCCTTTATTTGAACAACAGAGAGTTTCTGTTTGGCTCTTTTTGAGTGATCTCAAGTTTGAGATTTGCTCTTTTACAAGCTTTGTAATCTTCTTCAATATAAAAGAAATTATTTGTGTGGCTCCCGAGGACGTAGGCAAGTTGTTGAACCTCGTTAAAACTCGGTGTTCTTTATTCTTGCAATTAATTTAGATTTGTAGTGATTTCTTTTTTTTTCATTGCTTAACACAAGGTCCGGTAGGGCAAATTCCGCAAGAACGGGTGTCAGAGCGTATCTGAGTTTATCCCCAACAATATAAGGTGGTAAAAATTTTATTTATTAGCGACATCGTACATGTTTGCGTTAACACTTAAGTGTGTTTGAGAGTTCACTAAGGGAAAGGAAAATGGAAGATAAAACATGAAAATGAAATATAATATATTGTTTGGAAGTTTAGTGAAGAGGATAGATGAAAGCTTATTTCGTCGTGTTTGGGAGTTTTAACTAAAGGAATAGAAGAGAAATAAAATGTGTCATAATTAAATATCAGCTGCTGATCCATAGCTATAAATGATCATCGTTTAACCTAACCCGAAATGTCCCTGGGCGGGAGTGGGTGTGGGAGAGGTTGGTGGAGGGGTGCGGGCCGAATTGTTATCTCCTCAAAGGTAAAAAAGAGTTCTACAAGGTGGTAATCGAATTAAATTAAGGTTAGCTTCCAAGCTTTAATTTCGGACACACCACGAAATGGGTAACAGTGCAATCGGGCGGCTGCATACAAACGTCGTAACGTAACTTTGCAAATGACCAATTATTCTTTAACAGTAGTATAGATGCACAAAGAAACTGGCGACGGGAGTAAAAGTAAGGCCCGGTTTGTTTGTCTTTGAGAGGTGATGACGCGCGGTCAGAATCTGTGGCCCGCTTCTGCAAGCCGAAAGCGTGTAAAGATGAGCGTTTTGCTTGAAAAGCTGCCACAGAGTACGACAAAAGGTTAGAATTGTGGTAGGGATTCGGCTTCAAAAAGGAGGAAACAACCTGGCCTAACCTGTACCTTATACAACATTAGAATAATGGAAAGTAGGGCTTTGCAAATGTTGACTGCCGTTGACAGAGCATTGATTGAGCGGAGGAATCACCCATATTGAAGTTCTAACCCAACGCTATGGTTGTTGTCATTTAATTTACTCCGATATCTATTGACTCGTTTATTTTTTTTATTTTAATTGTTGAACTAAAGTGGCCTAAAGAATGTGATGGATTTTTAGATCTAACGAGAGCACATAAGTCAGCCCCCCCCCCCTCCCCCCACCCCCCTTAAGGTCACATAGTGCTTCCGCCCTACTCCAGCGCCAAAACAATCGCCTCAACAACAAATCCATAATTTAACAAGTAATGTGTTTTTAACTTAAATAAATGTGTGGCTAATATAAAGAGGAAAATAAAAAGAAAAGGTAGTTAGTAAAAGTCTTATTTGGATACAGATTTACCAAAATACCCATGGGCTGTGTGAAAATTTACCAAAATATCAATACTAAAAAGCATGAAAAGTCTTCTTTTCACCACCCAAACTTAGCCCAATTTAGTCAGGGATGGGCCCCCGGTATTAAAGCGAAGGTCCTTGTAGCTGTGGGGGGATCGGGAGGATTTGAACCTGTGGTCTCCACTAGACCTCAAGTGAATGCGTTGAGTTGCTGACCAGGTTTCACTTGTCAAAAAAAAAAAAAAAAAAAAACTTATGCGTTGAGTTGCTGACCAGGTTTCACTTGTCAAAAAAAAAAAAAAAAAAGAACTTAAGCCTAATTCTAACTTCTAGAAGCATCTAGGTTTTTGGTCTCATTATCATAATTCTTAGCCTAAGCGCCCTTTGATCATTCTTCCACAAAATTATGATAATATAATAACAACCGTGGTCACAAACATTGGTCTATGATGCGGACTTAATGTGTCAGTATGAGGATGAGATATGACTTATATATTATAAAAGTATTTGTTTGGTTTTTATGGATACACAGCAATTATTGATTTTATTTTTATGTCACATGATCTTATCCTTTTTCTTGCCAGCCCAACGACCAGGCCCAAGGGCTCTTTAACCTATAGCCAGTCATATGTTTATTGTCACTCCTTTTTCTTTTAATGGGTGGTGGAGAATTGTTGGATGTGGTTCTATCTGCATCCAAACCCGAACCTGCTGTCTTTGTTTGCTCAGACGCCATGATAATAATACAAGACAATTTACTAAAAAAAAATGCTAACCTAAACACGTGCATGAGCATGATGGTTCCATTTAGGGCTGTCGAAACGGCCGGCTCGGTCCAACCCAGGCATGTATTTCCGGTCCGGGCAGCCGGGCAAAATGTCGAGACCGGACACGGATGCCTGGTCGAGCCCGGGTTCGGGTTCAGGCCAAATCGGGCCAGGCTCCCGGCCGGCCTGTATTTTTTGTGTTTTTTTTAATTTTTTGGCTAGAATTTGATTAAAAAAATTAGATTAATCTTATTATTTTATATAAGTATGTATTATGTATTATTATATAATTATATATTAGTTATAGAACTATATATATATAAGTATATATAAGTATATATAAGTATACATTAATGATCAACCATACTAAAATTATATAGTATACATTAGAAAATATATATATATATATATATATATATATAGTATATATATATATATATATATATATATATATATACTATATATATAAGTATATACAAGTATATATTTAATGACAGTGTACACTTAAAAATATGTATAACTATACATTAATGACCATATCATACTATATAGAGTTATATATAAAAATATAAAAAATATATAATATGTATACAATATTAAAAACCGGGCCGGGCTTCACCACCTCGGCCCCGAACCGGGGCCCGGAGCCCAGCCGACCCGGATTTTTCAGGCTTTACCCAGGCCCAGCTCGGGTCCGGAGCCAATGCTCATTTGGATACCTCTAGTACCATACTCAACTTTTTTTCAAACTCATGTAAGCTACTAGAAAAAATAAGCATAATATATTTTACGGTTGGTTATAATATTTAAATTTCCTGACACCAGATTACAATCTACTAGAGTAATACTCTCTAATCTTAAAAAAAACTCAGCAACAACAATAAATAGACGAAAGCGAAAACAAATTTATTAAAAAAAAAAGAAAGAAAATTAAACAAAGAAGAATAAGTTCAGGGCCGGGCCGGGCCGGGTAGGGTAGGGTGGATTTTAGGGGCGAGTGGGTGGATTCAAAGACCATTATAAGGTGTTATAGGGTTTACATAGGCCAAATCGTTTTAGATCCGGAACCACAAAACCCACTATCAAACTGCAAAAAAGGTGGGGTGAAAATATAAAACCCCGGTTTTAAATGTGAACCCCATCGTCTCCCCTGTTCTGCTCTCTATCAAAAAACAATGGTCTTCACGTCTTCATTTTTGTGCTTGGTCAAAACTCACTCCAACTTCAAAGCAAACCCCTTTATCTCATTTTTATTTTGAGCTGCGATCACGAAGCCACTGCGGAAAATGGGTTCCCTCCTCTTCTCCGTCCTCATCCTCTGTCTCATTCCCCGTTCGTCTGGGCTTCAGCTATGCACTGATTCCAGTGAGTTCATCTCCTCATCTTGTGAAGCGGGTCCGCTAAAGGTGGGATTTTGAGCGATGGGTTGTGTTTGATTTTGTTTGTTGGTTGTGTTCTCAGTGGCTCCCGTGACGTTGAAGGCTCCTCTGGATTTTTGTGGTTATAATGGGAGTAGCTGCTGCGGCGCTGCTGATGACTCGGCAATCCAGAAGCGGTTCAAGGCCATGAATATCTCTGACTCTGCCTGCTCTTCTCTTGTTCAATCCATTCTTTGTGCTGTAAGCTTGTGTTCTTGTTGAATTATTATTATTTAAATATAATTATTGAAATTCTATTTAATTAACAGGTTATAAAGGTCATACTGGCAGGACTTCATTAATTTGTATGTAGAGTCACTGCGAAAATTTTCGATATGATATTTTGCAATTCGACGCAGTTAATATATTTGGTTTGATAGAAATGGTGACTTGTTGACAATGAATTCTAGTGTTAACAGTAATTGATGGTATTATTAGTATTTCAAAAGAAAAAAAAATCCAACCTGTGCCATGAGTGAAATTGGAAGCACTGGAGCATCAGAGTTTGAAATAACTTGTTCTTTCCTGTAATAAAAAAATCAACTTTTTGAAGAAAACTCACCATGCGGACAAGGGTTACGTCCTGGGGTTCTCCATTTGATTCTGTCAATTTGTGTTACAATTTTTGATGCCATCTACGGATTTATAGCATTTTCCTTAAATTTACATGCATGAAGTAAGATCTGAAATCCTCTGAAATCCATTTGATTCTGTCAATCTGTGTTAAATTACAGAAATGCAATCCATATTCAGCAGATCTATTCGCTACCTCCGGCTCAAAACTCCGAACAATTCCAACACTCTGCAACTCTACTTCCTCCATTAGCACTGCAGAATCCAAAGACACTTCAGCCGACTTCTGTGCACAAGTCTGGGACACTTGCAAAGATATATCAATAACCAACTCCCCTTTTGCTCCAAAATTGCAAGGAAGTACTCCAGAATCCTCGTCGTCGTCTTCTTCATCCAAGCTCACTGATCTCTGGCAATCGAAATCAGACTTTTGCAGCTCATTCGGAGGCTCATCAGATGAAAATTCACTGTGTTTCACTGGAAAATCAACATTTTTCAACAATTCGACGACAAATTCTCCTCCCCCTAAAGGACTTTGTCTAGAGAGAATTGGCAATGGATCTTATCTCAACATGGCACCTCATCCCGATGGATCAAATCGCGTATTTTTAGCTAATCAAGCCGGTAGAATTTGGCTTGCAACTGTACCTGAACAAGGATCCGGAGGAACATTGGATTTTGATGAGTCCAGTCCTTTTTTGGATATAACTGATGAAGTTCTATTTGACTCTCAATTTGGGGTTATGGGTCTTGCATTTCATCCGGATTTTGCTAATAATGGACGGTTTTTTGCTTCGTTTACTTGCGATAAGGTTCAGTCTTCTAGTTGTTCAGGGAGATGTGCTTGTAATACTGATGTTGGTTGCGATCCTTCGAAGCTTGGGTCTGAAAATGGAATCCAACCTTGTCAGTATCAAACTGTGATTGCTGAGTTTAGTGCAAATAGTTCATCGTCAACGCCCTCTAAGGTACATATACTGTATTTCTCAAGCGGTTAAGATTGCATTGATTAAAAAAATTAAGGGGTTTTTTCTTTTCTTCTGTAGGCGACGGATGCTAGTCCATCCGAAGTACGAAGAATTTTTACAATGGGTCTTCCTTTTACATCACACCATGGAGGGCAAATTCTATTTGGACCTGAAGATGGATATTTGTACTACATGATGGGAGATGGAGGGCGAAAAGGAGATCCTTTCAACTTTTCGCAGGATAAAAAATCATTGCTTGGGAAAATTATGAGGCTTGATGTCAATAACATACCAAGTGAGTTTTCGGAAAGAAATATTGTTTAGGATGTTTAATTTATTTTACTTTTCCGAATGTATCTATATATTTGTTTATTTACTTCGGTGATGTTGTTAAATTATTTGATTACTGATGAGTTTTCATATGCTGTAACTCTTCACTCATACTTGCTTTGTGAGGAAATCGCATGCTTATTATCCTTTTATGCACGATTGTTTCCCTAAAATCTTGTATCTTTTAGCTAAACATTCTCAGTTTGAGTTATATTCATGTTGCAGATAACCCATATTTGGGATATTTTCATATATACCCCATAAATTATAGGTATTTGCAAAAATACCCCCAAATCTTAGTATTTCAAAACTACTACTCAAATCATCATCTTTGTGACCCTTAAAATCAACAAATCATCAATTTGGTGCTAAAATTTTGACTGTTTTGTTGATATTTTTTACATTGTGATTACAAATTAGCTTATCAAAGTTGATGATTAATTGCTTTGAGGGTAACTCCAAAAGTGATGATATGAGGGGTAGTTTTGTAAATACTAAGATTTAAAGGATATATTTGCAAATACCCATGATGTAAGGGATATATATGCAAATAACCATACTTACGTACATTTGCAATTGGAAAAAAAATGATACATTATGACATGAAAATTGTAAAGTATCGTTATTGACTTATTAGAGTGTGACGTGCTTTCTTCAGTTGGAAGCTGAATAAAACAAATATGACGGTTTATTTTATGCAAATTTTGCTTACACTACTGCTAACTCTTAAGGATTTACAGAATTTTGTGATTGATTTCTAGGTGAAACTCAGATAAGTGACCTGGGTCTATGGGGAAACTACTCAATTCCTAAAGACAATCCATCTGCTCAAGATAAAGATCTACAAGGTGAAATCTGGGCATTGGGTCTAAGAAATCCATGGCGATGCAGTTTCGATTCAAACAAGCCTTCTTACTTTTATTGTGCAGATGTTGGCGAGGTAACATAACTACATACTTTAATGAACTTTCATCAATATCCAAAGGGTTAATTAAACACAGACCCGATTTAGTATCGTTGTTTAGACCCCAGGTTTAATTTCTTTTGACTCTTTACCTAAGGTGAAATTCTGGCAGATAATTGCCCTTAGCTGAAATCAATGAGTCTACTTGAGGGTAAAAGAGTCATTTGATACTACAAGAGTGTGCATGTGTAATTAACCCATAACCAAAATATGCTATATGTTCTTTTTACCCTATAATGTTGGCCAAGCCAAAATGGTTAACTCTTCATAAACTGGTATATATAATATCTGACGTGCACGTTACACGATAACAGGATACATATGAAGAAGTAGATTTGATCACTAAAGGGGGAAACTATGGATGGCGAGTATATGAGGGTCCTCTTCGTTATAATCCCCCTTCAACTCCCGGAGGAAATACATCTGCGTCCTCTATCAATGCCATACCTCCAGTCATGGGCTACACTCACTCTGACTTGAATAACAGTGTTGGATCGGCTTCAATCACTGGCGGGTACGTGTACAGGTCCATGACAGACCCGTGCATGTTCGGAAGGTAGATTTCTTTGTTTTCCCCTTTATATAATATGGGTTATAAACTTTTTTCCCTATACATTGATTCAGAAGTCTTGACTAGTCTGTTTCTCTTCACACTGCGCTTCTCCTTCTTCTCTCCATGTCTCTTCATGTATATTCTGTGTCTATTTTCTCTAGTTGATGAATGGGGTGAATTTGAATTTCACAAGATCCCCTTGAACTTTAGAGCGTTTAGCACAAAGCTCCCTGAACTTTATAAATCAGAGACACTTCCTTGAACTTGTTTCGTTAAATTACTGTGACTGACAACGTTTACTTTGGGTAAATTGCAGGTAACCCCCTCCATCAGTACCTTCAGCAGCAGATAATTCTGCTCTCAACTCATTTGTTAGCACTTAGCGCTCTCTGAATTTTCATATTCAGGAAGGTAAGCTGTCATGAACCGAGGAGAGCTAAGTGCTAATAAATGAGATGATAGGGGCCATCTGCTATTGAAGGTATATTTAAGGGGAGTTATCTGCACCTTTAAGTTGTCTCGTGTTTCGCATGTGAAATGCTTGGCCAGTTTTGCCTTTTATGGAGAGATTTTTTCCATGTTAGGATTGCTAGAGACTAATAATGGTATCTTAGGCATTTTTACCCTTCACATCAAAGCCTTATACTTTATGAAGTCCAGTTTTTGTGAAATTTATCCTAATAAATTTCACAGATATCTTGCCCTTGTTACTACAAAATCCTAACCTATGCTCTTTGTTTCAGGTATTTGTATGCAGATCTTTATGCAGGAGCGATGTGGGCAGGCATCGAAAACCCAGAAAACAGTGGAAATTATACGGCCAACATGATTCCTTTCAGCTGTTCAAAACGATCTCCAATCCCTTGTGAAACTGTTGCAGGGAGCTCTCTCCCAGCTCTAGGATATATATACTCATTTGCTGAAGACAATAATAAAGATTTGTTCGTGTTGACGAGCAAAGGTGTGTATAGAGTTGTACCTCCTAGTCACTGCAGTTACAGCTGTCCAAAGGAGAAGATAACCAACAATAACAATCCAGCACCGGGGCCTTTGTCGTCTGCAGGCAAAATTTTGAACCAGCAAATGAATCTGAGATACTTGTTCGTGTTTGTTTTCGTTGTTTTGTTGAATTTTAGGTTTTAAATAGGTTATTTTGTATGTATAATATGATAATGTTTCTATTTGTAAGAGATTTTGATTCATAATGAGGTTGTTGTGTGTTGTAAATTTACAGTATTTCTGCGATTTGCTAATTTTTATTGACTGTGGTATGTTGTAATTTATGGTTATGGGCTTCTCAGTCTTACATGCGCTAGAGATTATAGCCTGCATAAAAATACACAAATTTCATTGATAGTGAATGGTATGGTAACATTTAACTGTTTTGATCAATTTACTTCTTGTTACTCGACCGATAAGAACTTTACAGAGATCTTGGATTTTAAAAAAAATACTTTTGTAGAGAATGTCACGAATCTTTCTTATTCCAACTAATTATTGGAGAGAAATATTCCTAGATTCTTAGAGGAGTTATTGAATTTGTCACACTTCCATGCACCAAACAAGTTGATGGTGAAGAAATATAGGAAACAGCAAAGAATCAGCCAGGCAGACTGGCGGTCGACCGCGAACGTGCACAAGTGCAAGTAGGATTCGGAGCTGATGGCGGTCGCCCGCCGTGGTCGACCGTGGATGACTGTAATCGATTTTAGTCTCGGGTTTGTGGTTCGGTTGACCGCCGCGGTCGATCGCGAACCTGCGCGGTCGACCGCAGTCTGTTTGGGCTGGGCCTTTTGGTTTTTGACCCGGTTCGTTTTTGGGTTTATATATAAATCAAACCTGATTGATTAGGGTAATGTAAGGACGATTTTGAGCAGTCTTTGTGAGAGGATTATTGCATCCAATTGTGGGAGAGTTGTGAGAGATCTAGAGCTTTGTTTTAGGGTTTGATCGGTGAGATTTGTAACTCTATTTGTATTCTCTTGATTTCTAATAGTAAGAACTCCCCCCCCCCCCCCCCCCCCCCCCTTGCCCCGTGGACGTAGGCAACTTGCCGAACCACGTAAATCTCTTGTTCTTGCTGTGGTTGTGTTTTGCTTATTAGTTGTGGTTTATCTCGAGTTATTGTTCGTGTTGCATAAGAAATCTTCCGCCGCGCACAACAGATGGTATGGGGTCATAGTAAAGATTAAGGAGGCCTATCTTTTTGTTCCTTTTAATGTTTTATAGCTATTTTGTTGTTTATTTCTGTTTATTACTTGACATATTTACTTCAAGCAAATAAAAAGGTGAAACTTTTAAGTTCATGAACTGTGAAATTGAAGCCGTTGCCCATCATCATGCATAGTCTCAACGTTCAACAGAGCCCACTTGAAGCTTACAGAACGAGGATTAAGGTAAATTATTATTAGGACCAGGATTATGCAAGACTTCAGCTAGAAAAAAAATTGAGATCAGCATACGATCTTAAGGCATATGTAACGGAATCTGGACGAGGTATCAAAGTGAAATAAGATTAAAACTTTGAGGTATCGAAGTGTTAAAGAAATATTTTGGGTATCAGAGTGATAAAGGGTAAAACTTTAGAAAAAGAACAAAGATTTTTTAGCTATTTACGAAGCAAGCATCAAATAGATTTCCCCTTATTTGCTCTTTCACACTGAAATTTTTAATATTTAGCTCTTTTTATTTCAATCACCCTCCCTTCGTCAAACCCAATAAATCTAATAAAAATCCATCGCCATCCTCTACTAGTTGACTTCAAACCCCGTTGATGTTGATCTCTCTTGCCAACAATCTCAAATTCCTTCAACTAATCTCTTCACACAGACAAGCCAGATTTAAATTCGAAAATAACCAGTTAGTCTCCCCCCACTCGCCATTAATTTATTCGTCATCATCACCGATAAAAAGTCCATGGCTTTCAGAGCGAGACGTTGTTTCTGATGATGGGTTCCCTCCTCTGTGCAACCCTCTTCCTTGTCTTCATCCAATGCTCGTATTCCCTCCAATTATGCGCAGATTCCAGTGGGTTTTCTCTATTTTCCTCTGATTTTCAGTAAATTATGATATGGGTTTTTTTTTCTTCTTCTCATTTTTGTGTTTGGTACCGTGTAGGGGCTCCTGCGAGCTTGAAAGCTCCTCTGGAGTTTTGCGGTTACAGTGGGAGTAGCTGCTGCAGCGGAAAAGATGACTCTGCAATCAAGAAGCAGTTTGAGGGCATGAACGTCTCTGATTCTGCCTGTGCTTCTCTTGTTCGATCCATTCTCTGTGCTGTAAGTTGATTGAAGTTCTTTTTTTTTTCTTTTTTTTTTTTGGTGGGTGTGGAGATTATTTGGTCAAGGGTGAGTTGGGCATGAGAAATTTGTATTTCTTTGTTTATCTGTCTATTTTATGTAATATATATACCATAGGATCTTATCTCCGAGTGTAATTTAGAAGAGTAAGAAGGGATACGTTGAGATGTAAATGTGTGTATTATTACAGTGGGATTTCCAAATTTTAGCTTCAAATTGGATCAAGAATGTCTGTTTTGTATTAGCTCTGTGACGATGGAAAATAATTGAGGTCCTGAAGTATGTTCATCAATCAAAACAACCGGTAGGTTTCAGGCTAGAGTATCGAGGATTATCGGCTCTAAATCTGGCTGAAAGGGCTATAGAAGCCTTAGTTGTTGGATTTAATCTAATAAATCTATTTGTGGGCACATATGATTAATCAATGTGTATTGCTATCTTTCAGGATAACCCACTAAAGTGATCAATTAAGTTGGGTTAATTTGGTATTTAAATAAGTCATGGGGTTATATGTGCAGATACCAGGTTGTAATTGTAATTTATTGAGGGGCTAAATTACAAAAGTACAACATCTATAAATAAGGGGTTATGGTCCCTAACCTAGGGTTACATTCTCTAATTCTCTTCACCCCCATCTAAGAGAGAAATTCGGATTTAGAGGAACCCTAAGGTTAGAAGATCCAACACCCATCTTGGATTCAGGTATAAGCTTCCGCTCTTTTGATTTTTGTTAATCTCTTTGAATTAATCATGGCTATATGGTTTTAGATCTCAAGTTTATGATGTAGATCTAACAAGTGGTATCAGAGCCACCTTGATTAATTCTTAGGGATTTAAGTTTTATTGGGTTTTTGATCTTAAATCTCTGGTTAAAGATTCAATTTTTTGGGTTCGGATGAACAGTAATGTTCTCGGATGAACAGTAATGTTCGGTGAACAGTAACGAAATTTTTTTCGGATGAACAGTAAAGTATTTTTTTTCGGATGAACAGTAACTGAATTTTTTGGATTTTTCTTTGATTTTTCCTTCAATTTTTTCCAATTCTGGATCTGTTTTGAAAATAAAAATCAAAGGTTTTTGGGTTTGTCGGTGGCGGTTTCAATTTGAAACCCTAAGGGTTCATGGCGAAAATTAAGGAGGTGGTTACCTCAAACGAACCTCGCGTTCGTTCAATTTTAACCGAGCTTCGCGCTCAACGAACCTCGCGTTCGTTCTAAGGTGAACCTCGCGTTCAACTCAGGTGAGCTTCAAGCTCAATTTTAACGAACCTCGCGTTCGTTCCAAGGTGAACCTCGCGTTCAACTCAGGTGAGCGTCAAGCTCAATTTTAACGAACCTCGCGTTCGTTCCAAGGTGAACCTCGCGTTCAACTCAGGTGAGCGTCAAGCTCAATTTTAACGAACCTCGCGTTCGTTCTAAGGTGAACCTCGCGTTCAACTCAGGTGAGCGTCAAGCTCAATTTTAACGAACCTCGCGTTCGTTCTAAGGTGAACCTCGCGTTCAACTCAGGTGAGCGTCAAGCTCAATTTTTTAACGAACCTCGCGTTCGTTCTTCAGACGAACCTCGCGTTCGTACTTCAGACGAACCTCGCGTTCGTACTTCAGACGAACCTCGCGTTCGTACTTCAGACGAACCTCGCGTTCGTACTTCAGACGAACCTCGCGTTCGTACTTCAGACGAGCCTCGCGTTCGTACTTCAGACGAACCTCGCGTTCGTGCTTCAGACGAGCCTCGCGTTCGAACTTCAGACGAACCTCGCGTTCGTACTTCAGACGAACCTCGCGTTCGTACTTCAGTTGAACCTCGCGTTCGTACTTCAGACGAACCTCGCGTTCGTACTTCAGACGAACCTCGCGTTCGTACTTCAGACGAACCTCGCGTTCGTACTTCAGACGAACCTCGCGTTCGTACTTCAGACGAACCTCGCGTTCGTACTTCAGACGAACCTCGCGTTCGTACTTCAGACGAACCTCGCGTTCGTACTTCAGACGAACCTCGCGTTCGTACTTCAGACGAACCTCGCGTTCGTACTTCAGACGAACCTCGCGTTCGTACTTCAGACGAACCTCGCGTTCGTACTTCAGACGAACCTCGCGTTCGTACTTCAGACGAACCTCGCGTTCGTACTTCAGACGAACCTCGCGTTCGTACTTCAGACGAACCTCGCGTTCGTACTTCAGACGAACCTCGCGTTCGTACTTCAGACGAACCTCGCGTTCGTACTTCAGACGAACCTCGCGTTCGTACTTCAGACGAACCTCGCGTTCGTACTTCAGACGAACCTCGCGTTCGTACTTCAGACGAACCTCGCGTTCGTACTTCAGACGAACCTCGCGTTCGTACTTCAGACGAACCTCGCGTTCGTACTTCAGACGAACCTCGCGTTCGTACTTCAGACGAACCTCGCGTTCGTACTTCAGACGAACCTCGCGTTCGTACTTCAGACGAACCTCGCGTTCGTACTTCAGACGAACCTCGCGTTCGTACTTCAGACGAACCTCGCGTTCGTACTTCAGACGAACCTCGCGTTCGTACTTCAGACGAACCTCGCGTTCGTACTTCAGACGAACCTCGCGTTCGTACTTCAGACGAACCTCGCGTTCGTACTTCAGACGAACCTCGCGTTCGTACTTCAGACGAACCTCGCGTTCGTACTTCAGACGAACCTCGCGTTCGTACTTCAGACGAACCTCGCGTTCGTACTTCAGACGAACCTCGCGTTCGTACTTCAGACGAACCTCGCGTTCGTACTTCAGACGAACCTCGCGTTCGTACTTCAGACGAACCTCGCGTTCGTACTTCAGACGAACCTCGCGTTCGTACTTCAGACGAACCTCGCGTTCGTACTTCAGACGAACCTCGCGTTCGTACTTCAGACGAACCTCGCGTTCGTACTTCAGACGAACCTCGCGTTCGTACTTCAGACGAACCTCGCGTTCGTACTTCAGACGAACCTCGCGTTCGTACTTCAGACGAACCTCGCGTTCGTACTTCAGACGAACCTCGCGTTCGTACTTCAGACGAACCTCGCGTTCGTACTTCAGACGAACCTCGCGTTCGTACTTCAGACGAACCTCGCGTTCGTACTTCAGACGAACCTCGCGTTCGTACTTCAGACGAACCTCGCGTTCGTACTTCAGACGAACCTCGCGTTCGTACTTCAGACGAACCTCGCGTTCGTACTTCAGACGAACCTCGCGTTCGTACTTCAGACGAACCTCGCGTTCGTACTTCAGACGAACCTCGCGTTCGTACTTCAGACGAACCTCGCGTTCGTACTTCAGACGAACCTCGCGTTCGTACTTCAGACGAACCTCGCGTTCGTACTTCAGACGAACCTCGCGTTCGTACTTCAGACGAACCTCGCGTTCGTACTTCAGACGAACCTCGCGTTCGTACTTCAGACGAACCTCGCGTTCGTACTTCAGACGAACCTCGCGTTCGTACTTCAGACGAACCTCGCGTTCGTACTTCAGACGAACCTCGCGTTCGTACTTCAGACGAACCTCGCGTTCGTACTTCAGACGAACCTCGCGTTCGTACTTCAGACGAACCTCGCGTTCGTACTTCAGACGAACCTCGCGTTCGTACTTCAGACGAACCTCGCGTTCGTACTTCAGACGAACCTCGCGTTCGTACTTCAGACGAACCTCGCGTTCGTACTTCAGACGAACCTCGCGTTCGTACTTCAGACGAACCTCGCGTTCGTACTTCAGACGAACCTCGCGTTCGTACTTCAGACGAACCTCGCGTTCGTACTTCAGACGAACCTCGCGTTCGTACTTCAGACGAACCTCGCGTTCGTACTTCAGACGAACCTCGCGTTCGTACTTCAGACGAACCTCGCGTTCGTACTTCAGACGAACCTCGCGTTCGTACTTCAGACGAACCTCGCGTTCGTACTTCAGACGAACCTCGCGTTCGTACTTCAGACGAACCTCGCGTTCGTACTTCAGACGAACCTCGCGTTCGTACTTCAGACGAACCTCGCGTTCGTACTTCAGACGAACCTCGCGTTCGTACTTCAGACGAACCTCGCGTTCGTACTTCAGACGAACCTCGCGTTCGTACTTCAGACGAACCTCGCGTTCGTACTTCAGACGAACCTCGCGTTCGTACTTCAGACGAACCTCGCGTTCGTACTTCAGACGAACCTCGCGTTCGTACTTCAGACGAACCTCGCGTTCGTACTTCAGACGAACCTCGCGTTCGTACTTCAGACGAACCTCGCGTTCGTACTTCAGACGAACCTCGCGTTCGTACTTCAGACGAACCTCGCGTTCGTACTTCAGACGAACCTCGCGTTCGTACTTCAGACGAACCTCGCGTTCGTACTTCAGACGAACCTCGCGTTCGTACTTCAGACGAACCTCGCGTTCGTACTTCAGACGAACCTCGCGTTCGTACTTCAGACGAACCTCGCGTTCGTACTTCAGACGAACCTCGCGTTCGTACTTCAGACGAACCTCGCGTTCGTACTTCAGACGAACCTCGCGTTCGTACTTCAGACGAACCTCGCGTTCGTACTTCAGACGAACCTCGCGTTCGTACTTCAGACGAACCTCGCGTTCGTACTTCAGACGAACCTCGCGTTCGTACTTCAGACGAACCTCGCGTTCGTACTTCAGACGAACCTCGCGTTCGTACTTCAGACGAACCTCGCGTTCGTACTTCAGACGAACCTCGCGTTCGTACTTCAGACGAACCTCGCGTTCGTACTTCAGACGAACCTCGCGTTCGTACTTCAGACGAACCTCGCGTTCGTACTTCAGACGAACCTCGCGTTCGTACTTCAGACGAACCTCGCGTTCGTACTTCAGACGAACCTCGCGTTCGTACTTCAGACGAACCTCGCGTTCGTACTTCAGACGAACCTCGCGTTCGTACTTCAGACGAACCTCGCGTTCGTACTTCAGACGAACCTCGCGTTCGTACTTCAGACGAACCTCGCGTTCGTACTTCAGACGAACCTCGCGTT